AACAGTTCTGCTTTTTTCTTTCCTTTGCCGCCATCACTTAGCTGAATGCCTCTCTCGCACAGATAATTTTTCACTCTCCCACACTATTTTAGAGAAATTGTCCTTCATTTTCCCCACCACGGCACTTTACTCTTCATACCATAGAGAACGACCTCGTACTTAGCCTCGTCCTCGTGCCGTAATTTCGGTACCAGATCATTAAACAACGAGAACTCCGAACGGCTCTACTGGGCATTAGTGGTTTAGCAAGAGGACGAACGTCATTACAAATGAAAGAAAGCACGCGGATAGTCTGGACACGACTCTATTTCGACTTCCGGTGTTAGCGTTGCCGTTCTCCTCAACAAGTTCAGGACCTCATTACGCTGGTTTTCCCGTCGAGCCTGGGATTTGCGTAAATTTTGGCTCATAAACGAGATGATAGTGTTTGGAACTATTTCAGAACTCATTTCCAGGATAACCTGGTCCCTTCCCTTGGTTTATTCAGTGTATTTTGGGAAAATTTACCGCTTCATCTATGCTAAATTCCCGAAAGGAAACACGATCGTTGGCAAGCGCCGGATCCAAGATTTTAGGACTCGGCACAGTTGTTATTGAGCAAGGCTTAAAACAGCGAAAGGGGTGTTCTTTGATACATTTCTTTAATCCTGTATGAAAACTCTAGGATGGGACGCTTTTAATTTTATCATGAATCAATTCATCAATAAATTAAACTTGCTTCATGTTGAAGTTTATCAAAATGAAATATCACGACGCTTACCTACTGTATTATTCAGTGCGATTTTTTTGTTAATGTCGTTTTTACCGTGATTGAAAACTTTTCTGCGAATTGAAGTTAGATATGAAATAAAATTGAGAATAGCTCAGGTATGCACTTTTTTATGTTTGAAATTTTTGATCAGCGCCGATGAAAACTAAGACAAGAAAGTCATGTTCTCGCTTCGAAATAAAATGACAATCAACTTGATTTCGGCACGGCTTTCTAAATCGATTAATTTGATTCAGTCTTGAACGACTTCATTCGTTAAAAAAAAATTAAAATAAACAAAAACGGAAAAAAAAAAACGAAGGAACGAAGTCTTCTTCCTAAGTCTAACCGTTTCGTTGGTGACTAGTTTAAGTTAATTTCATTCTTTCTCGGATAAATAAGAACTCATCGTAAACAACTCCATCATTGGGTCGCTTGGTCTCTACATAATTTCGCCATAACTCATGATAATTCCTTTCAAAATGTATTTCAACTCTAAGAAGGTTGTGCTAAATCACTTTTCAACACAACGCGACGGCGTTCTCGACCCAGTTTCTTATCGACATTTTTGCTGCGCGCGCCGTTCTGATATGACCTTCCCGGAAAGCGTACTCCGAAATCCGTCAGAAGGGGGTCATCTCGGGTAGATCTCCGATTACGAAATCCGAGCTCACCCGACGTTGTCTTCGTGATGAAGGCCCTATTTAGCATATTAGACCCGCAAAACAGAGTAGAAACGAACACGTGCTTCGTTTTCGCTTATGACTTCGTATTAGCCGTAAGATATTTGCTTTTTTTTTTCGTTGCTTACCTATATTACAGACTCCACAAAATTTTTGCGTTGTCTGCTTTTAACGGACGGCTGATCACAACTACAACATAGTGACACCTCCACGAAATCTGTCAAAAGGAGGATGTTAAAACACCGGAAATGGAGAGGAAAGATAAATGTTACGGTCGATTAACTCCCAGACAATTGAATGGTCCAAACTCGTAAAGGCGGGAAATTTGTTATCGTCCGATATATCAAAGTATCTGTTTGCTCACTCAATTCATATTCAGCGTTCGGCCGTATTCCAATCGATAATTTCGCTTTCTGAACAAACTTTCCAATTCTATGATAGCACGTAAATTAACTTCTCAAGAAGTGAGTTCATTGTTTGAGAGAAAGTTGTCTGAAAGACAAGGTCTGGTAAAGGATGTCAGGTCAGTAGAGTTCATTCTTCGAGAGTATGAAACTGCTACCGTCACCAAAACTGCGAAAGAGCCCTTAAGCAGGAAGAGAAAAATAACCATTAGTTTAGCATGTAGCATTACAAAATGGTTCTCAGAACTTCCCATTAATTGTTTATTAAGATAATCGTCGAAGTGAAATATACCTAGTAGTAATTTTTAAGTACTAGTCAGCTAAAAGAATTTTAAAACGTATTCATAAGAAACTGTTTCTTGTAGGTCTTTCCCTAAGTACGAATTGAAAATCCTCATCTAAATATTGTAAAAATATTATCGTAAAATATTTTCAATGATATCATGGCACAACGCAGATAGAGAACATTTTATGTGATTTTTTTTTTTCTTTTCTCCCCTTTTTGTAAATTTTAGCAAATTTTACCTAACCTTGTAATCTTATTGTAAATGTTTATATGTAATTTTTATTGAACCCAGGGCCCCTAAGGATACCAGCCTTGTAGCAGACTGGGCTACCCTGGTAAAATAAAGTTGTCTTGTCTTGTCTTGTCTTGTCTTGATGTAATAGGTGAGACAAGCCACGGATTATCCTTGTCAACAAAAGTAATATCGCCTACTACATTATATTCATACTTAGCCTCCGTCCAATAGAGGTAATGTTCAATTTTTTAATCAATTAACATATTAAAAAAAACAATATATCGCTTAAACTCTAAACGTAATTGCGTTAAATTTATTTCATCAGAAATCCAGAAGATTTTTAGTGGTTTTGGGCGTGGTTGCTTTTACTGAGTTTACCATATACCTAGATGTTTTATCTGAAAAGCTTTATTTAAGAAAAGGTATTTCTGTTCGCAATGCCTTATTTCGTGCGAAGATAGTTCGTATTTAAAACATCATTTCCGGTATTTTAGAATCCTCCTTTTGACAGATTTCGTGGAGATGTCATTACGTTGTAGTTGTGATCAACCATCCGTGAAAAGGAGGCGTCAAATGTATTTTGTGGAATCTGTCATATAGGTTAGCAACGGATAAAAATTGCAAATATCTCAACTCTAATACAAAGTCATGAGCGAAAACGAAGTAAGTGTTCCTTTCTACTCTATTTTGCGGCTCTAAAATGCTAAATAGGGCCTTCATCATGAAGACAACATCGGGCGAACTCGGATTTCGTCATCAGAAATCTACCCGAGATGATCTCCGGTGTTTTAATATCCTCCTTTTGACAGATTTCGTGGAGGTGTCACTATGTTGTAGTTGTGATCGGCCATCCATGAAAAGGAGGCATCGCAAAAATTTTGTGGAGTCTGTAATATAGGTTAGCAACGAAAAAAAAAGCAAATATCTTAACGCTAATACGAAGTCATGAGCAAAACCGAAGTACATGTTCGTTTCTACTCTATCATGCGGGTCAAAAATGCTAAATAGGGCCTTTATCACGAGCACAACATCGGGGGAGCTCGGATTTCGTAATCGGAAATCTACCCGAGATGACCTCCTTTTGACGAATTTCGGGAGTTACTACATCACGGGCGACGAGCGGGGATAGAAAAAACGACCCAAATATGAGCGGTCAGCGGTGAAACAGCTTTTATACTTCATATAGAGACATATAATTTGTTGTTCCAGAGACAATCGTGTTGTAAAGCCGAAATGTTAACAGTTTACTTCACAGTTTAAGCAATTTTTCAAAAGTGTTGATTGAACTCATATCTTTTACTGCTGTAATAAGCAATGGAGACTTCGGAGAGGGAGTCAGTGGCATTTGGAAAGGCACCAAGAATAATTATATATATGGTCACGTGACGTGCGTGACGAAAAAAAAGTATCATGATTTCCGGTTGTCAAAAATATCAATCAAATTTGGCAGGAACTTTCACCTGCCCTTAGGGTGGCTTCTTGTCAGCACAAGTAGAGTTTAAATTTTAAAGCTGACTATAACAACGAACCAGATGATGAACTTAATGTCATGTACAGACCTTAATTTGCAAGATAAGAAATACAGTCCTTGGTAGTCAATTAAGATAGATTTTCACGAGCGTCAATGGTGCAGAATCGTAACTTGATGGAGCCAACAGTGGACAACATCCCAGAATTCAAACTTTGTGATTTTTTTTCTCGGCTTAAACGCTAAGTCAGTTGTTCAATTGAATAGGAAGAAAAACATTTCGAACGGAAAACAGCATTATTTGCACGTGTGGATCTTTTGAGAAAAGGTCTCCTGAACGAGTGGTCTTGATTGTAAATATTTAAGGAATGGTAAATACATTAGCCTTAACATGGCTGTTTCTCGAAGCTCAGTGTTTTCCTACTTGCCTTTTTTCCACGTGAATTGGGGGTGATTGAATAGATATAATATGCAGTAAAAGAACTTCAGCTGATAGAAATTTTAAATTTCTCATCTTAGGCTGTGGATACAAAATTCAAGGGAAAAGGAAGCCAACTGTGATTAATGCTTTGAACAAGTCAAGATACTTTTTTTTCGTCACACAACAAGTTACATAACGTGAATATCATTCTTCTTGATGCCTTTCCCGGTGTCACCAATGCCTTTCCCGATGCCTCCGTTGGTTAATAGAGCATTAAAAGTATTGTTCCAGTTAAAGCTTGAGGAAAATTGCTTAACTTTTTAAGTAGCGAAGTGTAACTTGGTAACATTTCGGCTTTACAACACGATTGTTTTCTGCAACTACAAAACGTACATTTAATTCTTCTTGGTACCTTTCGGATGCCACCGATGCCTTCATTGTTTATTAAAGCAGTAAAAGATATATGTACAATCAACACTTTTGAATTGCTTAACATTTTATTTAGCGAAGTAAACTATTTACACTTCGGCTTTACAACACGATTGTTTCCTGATACTACAAATGATCTGTCTATATATGAAGTATGAAAGTTGTTTCACCGCTGACCACTCGTATTTGGGTCGTTTTTTCTATCCCCGCTCGTCGCCCGTGATGTAGTAACTCCCACGAATTTCGGGGGAGTTACTACATCACGGGCGACGAGTTTGAACGTGTAAAATTTTCTAGTTCCCTCGACACTCGAATTACGTGTCGAAATGAAGCGTGGAAAAAACGTCTTAAATCGATTTGCAATTCTAGTTCTTTTCGCTTGCTTCATGTACCCAAGTCTACTTTATAAGTCAATAACATCGTTTACAACGGAAGAAATCGATTCAGGTCACCTTGGTTCCGCTCGAGAGATTCGATCCGTCGAATTTGATGCAACCGAAACAACTCGAAGAATGCAATTCGAAACAACCTCGGCATCATCACAAAATTGCGTCAAACCCTCCATAGACGACTTTCCAAACGATTTTATGACCCAGTATCAGCGACAGAAGCAAGGAGGCGTTGTAATTCATTTTCTACTGGCCATTTATATGTTTGGAGCACTGGCCTTAGTATGCGACGATTACTTCGTTCCCTCGCTGGAACAGATCACCAACAAGCTTCACATGGGCTCTGATGTAGCTGGTGCGACTTTTATGGCGGCTGGAAGCTCTGCCCCTGAGTTGTTTACCGCGATAATCGGTGTTTTTGTCACTAAGAGTGACATCGGTCTTGGGACGATAGTTGGGTCTGCAGTTTTTAATATCTTATTTATTGTGGCCATGTGTGGCTTGTTTGCCGGCACCGTCCTGCGTTTGACACCTTGGCCTCTGTTGCGTGATTCATTTTGTTATCTTTTGAGCATCGTTGCACTGATTGCGATCTCTTACGATCAATATGTCTACTGGTATGAAGCAATGGTGCTAGTGATTATGTACCTGTTGTACGTTGTTATTATGTACTTTGACAAAACTCTTGAAAACTCTTTTACGAAATTGACGGGAATGGGCAGAGTGGACACTGATGTTGAGAGAAACAAGCAACAAGCAGATGAACAAAAATCATTACTGAAAGAAGGTGACGAATATGGGGAAGATTCCTCGTCCCTTGGAGAACAAGAAGAGGTGAAGATCATTGACGAGAATGATGATTCGCCATTTTCAGTGCCTCCCGGCTTGTTTGCCCGCGTTCTTTGGATCCTTGCGTTACCAGCCATATGTTTGTTTTACGTGACGATACCTGACTGTCGCAAAGAGCGGTGGGAACAGTGGTATCTAGTCTCATTCTTTTTATCAGTGATATGGATTGCACTACTCTCCTATATTTTAGTTTGGATGGTGTCCATCATTGGCTTCACCCTGGGTATCCCAGATGTCATCATGGGCCTGACATTCCTGGCAGCAGGTAGCAGTGTGCCAGATGGTATATCCAGCCTAATTGTTGCTCGTCAAGGAGATGGAGACATGGCTGTCTCAAACACAATAGGCAGCAATGTATTTGACATTTTACTGTGCCTTGGGCTGCCTTGGTTGCTGAAGACTACAGCAGTGGACCCTGGAGGTTATGTTGTTGTGTTAAGTGGCAGCATTATTTACACATCAATTTCCCTCTTTGGAACTGTGTTTGTCACAATAGTTTTAGTAGTGACAAACAAATGGTATTTGAATAAGTGCGTGGGAATAGCTTTTCTGTTGCTATATATATTATTCATCACAGTTGCAACCCTTTTTGAGCTTAATCTCTTTGGGAACTACAACCTGCCAACGTGTTAGACATAGAAATTACAATTGTCTAGTGTTTATATCATAAAATTATACACTTCTTTTTCCAAAATGATTATACCATCTGAATAGATTTTAAAACTCTTTTAAAAAGGTTAAACATGAAATCTCATTATTATAACATTTTGTTGTTAAATTATAAAAAGATGAGTGGAGAGACTTCAAAAAGAAAAAGAGATTCCAAATATTTGAAATGATTTTCAAATTGGAAAGTCCTTCAAAACATTTTTATGTTAACAACTGGATTCTACGTGATCCTTTTTAAAATAATTCATACCCTTCACATTGAGGCAATCAAGAAATTAACCTTTCCCTGTATGTGACAGTATAGTATGGCCTCATTGTTTTTACTTTTAAAACCAAACCATCAAGATTTTAGAATAATTTCCATGGAATGGAATAATACAGGATCCAGTTTATATATATTTCTAGGAAGTCCATACACAGGTTCTGGTAGCATGATCATCATTTAAGGGTGGTCTGTTAACTAAGTTATTAACCCTTTAACTCCCCTTATGTGATTATTAATTTTCCATCCTAAGTGTAACACATTCTTTTTGTATAAGTTATAAGAATTTGGTGTTCGACTAAGATAACAACTTTTGCCTAATAAGTTTGAATTTTCTCATTCCTTGTTTGTTGGGTAATGTATAAATGTTATTGGGAGAAGTTACATGTTAATTACTTCTGGGAGTTTGAGGGTTAGGGAAAAAACAGTGCTTCTACCATAAAGTGTCTGTGAGAGTCATTGTATGAGGATTGTTACATAAGGTTTAACTTTGTAACATGTTACAAATCTGTTTGATTTGGATTTCTGTGTGGTAGTTTCCACAATATGTACATGTATAATTGATTGCCCCGTAAAAAGCCTTGAGGACATCAGGGGAGATTATAAAATTGTTGATTTTACTTTATTTTTTAAGAAAAGAGATTGATTTCTGACTAATTTTTTTTTCTAAATTTGCAATTTAGTGAATTTTAAACATGTAATGTTTCATTCAGTAATGTATTCATCATTGTAAGAATATTGTCCAACAAAAATTTGATATTAAGAAATTTTGTGAAAAATGTACTTATAGTGATGAGGATATTGACAGCACATATATATATATATAAATATATCTATGTTAACAATAGCCTCTATTTGGTGTAAAAATATGTATGCATATTTGTCCGCAAACATTAATTGTTCCTAGATACGAACAGTTTTCCAAGAGGGAAGCTTGAGGAAAAACCGTGAGCTTGTAGTTGAGGTAAGGTTTGAAAACTGTGAACCCATAGTGGACATAAGGTTTGAAAATTGGGGAGTATCACTTGGCTGATATTCTCAGATATCACTCAGTTTAGCTGGGGGATATTCGGTCACTTGATATTTTAAATACATACTTATTAAAACATTTTAACATATTCCAAAATTTTAGTTTGTGTGAGATTGTGTTTTTCTTTCTTTTTTTTTTTTTTTTTTTTTGCATTTGATACAGATTGTTTGAGAAAACAGTAGGCAGCTATGGTGGTTTTTTTTCTGGTATTGCCTTATCTGTGTAACCATTGCCCTTCCACCCTACGTTGACCCCAGAGTTGCCCTGCTAAAGAAGTAGATTTGATCTTTAATACAAATTCCAAATTAATTACATTGAACAAGTCACTTCAGTCAATTTGAGGACAGCTTCAAACAGAAGACAAGATTCCTTAATATAAGCCGCCTTAATTATTTACCTAGTTAAAATATCAGTGTCAGACTGATTAAAAACTCATGATAGAAATAAGATAATTACAATATTAAATTAGCACTGAACTTATCATAAAAATAAGTAAACAATTTCTTGCAAAAGACTATCAAGGTGAAGTGTATCGTTTAGTGTATCATCTCTTGTTCATCGATTTTGTTATTTTCTGTTTATATCATGTTTTAGATATTTCATAGTTCCCACTGTTATGCTTTTACTTATTAATTACGCGATTATTTATTTTATATATTGTTAATTTTGAGGGCCTCACTGAAAACCGCTATGGCGAGCTGGGCTCCCTCTTTAAATATTTTTTAATAAAATAAATAAAAAATAAGTCTCCCTTGCAGCCGTTTTCTGAATGTCACGCAACGTTCCCTCAAAACAACGGTTCTTTTGGGAAACGTTGCGTGACATCCAAAAATGGCTGCGAGGGAGACTAGACATGGTGTTGACTGACAAGGTTTTTTAAAATATATATGTGGTGCTCACATTAAGTCTATTGATAGAGAAAATTATATCATGAATTAGAGCTTACAAGCCAGATTAGTAAATTCCATTTTCCCACTTAGGGTTGGAAAATTGAGCCTTAGATTGTTATTTTCAATAGGCAAGCTAGGTTGGTCAACTGCAATTATTGTCGATAGGCAATTAAAATTTTGTCTGAAAATGCCTGACGTGGCGCCACACTGGGTAGCGAGATTAACTTATTTTTTCCTTAAGAGGGACAGGGATGGTGCAACACCCTCATCCAATTCTCCTTTGAGTGCTTCTTAACCCTCCCCCCCCCCCCCCCGAGACGACTAAGTTCGTCCGCTTATAGTGAAAGAAACCCCCAGGGATTTCTAAACTCTGCGCTTAAACAGTCTGACGTACTTATGATCATTATCACGCTCTTAGTATCATGAATGTAGCAAGATGCCACGTTCCTGCTTTTCTCGTGTGCATAACGTGAGCTAGCTATTTGTTTGCGACTTACGGGTGACCTTAGGACGCATTACATGCTTTGTCGCGTCATAAAAAAAAACCCAGCAGAAAATATGTAACTTTTGACGAAAAATCTCTCATCATGTCCTCCATCATGGAGCGTCGAGACATAGGAAGCTTAGGGGCGAGAAAGAAATATACGCAAATGGGGTAGTGCCCACTTAAACTAAAATAGAGAACAGCGGCTTGGCTAAATATTGCTAATCCATAACCCTATATTGTGACATTTACGCTATGAAAGCCACATGATAACAGCCAGGGAGAGGTCGAACAAAGTTAGATGCTCTAAAATCAGCTTTTCCTTCCCAGCGAAATTCATCACAGTCAGAGGAAATTAGCACACACCGAAGGATTGGAAATTCCCATAAAAACTGAACTACATGTTATTTTCTATGGCATACAACTAATTGATCTGATCTTTCTCATCGTCGCTCATTTGGTCTTCTTGCTCTCTTTTCAAAAGCAGCTCCTTTCATCACTATCATCAGGAATATGAGAAAAGGGCAACTTCACCAAATCAACGATTTTTAAACAATCGCAAAGATATTTTCTGAAGTCATGTTTTGCCAAACAATCTCACGGGAAATGTCTCTTTTTTACGAGACCTTTCACGTTAATGAAATTAATTGACTTTTGACAAGAGCTGTTATCACTTCCTTTGGAACAGCGGAATTAAGTCACGCGATATCAAACATGTTGTTTGTTACTATTGCTCACGTGATTAGGATCATTTCAGGAAACATTTTTTAGTTGTCAACGAGTTTGCCTTGCAGCTTAAATCCTTTCAATCCCGAGTTCTAAATAGAAATTCTTCACACTGTTTGCGTTACATTTTTTATGACCTCAGCTCCAAGAATTTGGTGTTGAATCAAGCAATATTCTCAACTTGTTTCTCTTTTCTCTCCATTCGAAAATTTATCGATTTATTACAAGGTGAAAATCCTTTTCGGTCCACTCACCCCTGGAAGTGAAAGTATTTAACTTTGATGTTGCAGTGTTCATGCTCTATTTAAGTCGACTGTCCGTCTGCCGGGTAATTTCTATCAGCGGTGGTCGATTGCTCTATGAGGGAGAGTTGCGAAATCCTTGACCCACCACTGATGTACACGTATTAACTTTTGTATTGTTTTTACTTGCGAATTACCTGTGTACTTTGAGCTCTCAGTCAGAAACGACTTCGCAAACCGTGGCAACCATCAGGATATCAAAACTCTAAAATCAAGAAAACAGATTGGGAAGTTTTGAAATATTTTAAAATCATGGTCGGTTTTTCACATGCCGGGTCGATTATTTTGTACCAGGAGCCCATCACTTAAGTAATGGGCTCCTGTTTGTACCTAAAAATTAACCCGCTCGGATCGACAGAGAGTGAGACAAGGTATATGCAGGAAGGCGGATTGCTTATTCCTGAAAGAATTTCAGATCTTATCCCCTTTTACTGAGGAAATGAGCCATATTCTAGAATTAACGAGCTGGAATCATAAACCTTGGTTAAAAGAGAATTTTCTAAACAAATTAAGGTTTACTGGGAATTTTGTGACAAATTACCCACGCAATCATCACAAGCGCCCCAGGATCCGGTGGGTTGGATAATGTTTAGTTTGGGAGGTTTAGCTAGGCGAATTACGTTTTCAAAAATATTTCAGTGTCAATCAGCTATGTTTTAAAACTTTTGACGTTGCTGCTCTGACGGTCTTGTTGAAGGCCCGCTTGAAAACACCGACAAGACGTTCAAATTGGCCTCTCCACCGTGGTGCTCTGGGAAGGTTAAAGTGCCACCGGATCTCAAGAAGCTCGAGGAATCTCTTCATTCTCTTCTCTCGTTGAACCCCTTTTAGCCACTTGGCTGCTTTGACGAACGTTCGTCTATTGTCCGAGTACAGCGTCTTCGGTCGGCCCCGTCTTGCAATAAAACGTTTCAGGGACGGGAGGAACTTCGCTGTGTCCGGGCTTATGCCTCTCACGGAGAACCTTGAAGGGATGTGTCGATGACATTAGATAAACTACCGGGAATTAGAGGCGATCTTGCTAGCACTGACGATGGATGGGGAAGCTGGGATTTTGCGAAGACGCAATTCTGTTGATGTTAACTCATCTAAGCACAGGCGTCCCAAGCTCTCGTCTCCAGAAAAAGCAAACGATTAATTCATGAAAGCGTCACGCGTTGTATAACTCGGTGTTAAGTTGCGAAAGGAACCGTTGAGAATTGAACACGTTACAAGGAATAGTAAGGGCAACGAAATATGGTCGATTTACAACGATGAATATTTAGAAGTACGAACATTTTACACGTAAAATCCTTAAAACTTACTGGTCCGGAGATAAAGTGGCTATCGAGTAATTGACTGGATAGGAATCGTATAGTTTTTTTGATTTCATTCGATCTGTAAGAGACAATACATAATTCTTAGGAAATCTATCAGCGAGTGATTCACGAAATTACATGCGGAAAATACGAAATTACGATACTGAACATCAAACTGGTTAGAAAACAAATTACTTACTTCTTGATACTTCTGTACCGTTATCCTGTCAGAAATTACTACAGAACAGGTCAGCGAAACGGGAAGGAAACGAGTCAGCAGAAAAACTACTGGTTAGCTAGCGAGTGGGGGGACAGGGGGTCAGAGTCTCCCGCTTCCTGTACCACGTTCTCCCGCCTCCCATACGTTTGTGCCCCTTTGCCTCCCGACTCAGAAACCCGGGTTTAACTTTCAACTGTGCCAAAATTTAACATTCTTGTTCATTTCTGGCCTTTGTTTTGGCGGGGGGATCATTGGGTCCCGATGAAAGTTATTACCGGTCAGTTTTGTTAATTAAACTAGGTTTCACTAATCTGGTTATCACAGTTTGACCATCGCTTATGACATCTCGTTATAGAGACGAAAGTCTCATTCCACTGTGTAATGTAATGGTATTGTAATTTAATATAGGTTCTTCTGTATCTGTGCTTGCTTTCCCTTTTTGACGTAAGCAACTAGTCGTAGCTTGTCGTGAGCGAATAAAAAAGCTGACTCCAAAGGATGATATAAATCACTGCACATCAATTGTTTAATCATTTACATTTTGAGCGTTCGGTTTAAGTGCTAGTGAAGCATGATTGAACATTCTTGTTCGGCTGATTATCAGATTTGTTCGATAGGTTGTAATCTTCTTTAAACCTCTGCGGAAAGTTTTAAGGTCAGAAGAAGTCTTGCATGCGCCGGGAAAACCACACTGAAGTCCTCCGACTGGAGGTCACAGCCTCTTCTTCCGCCGAGTCGAATTGAAGGGATTTCCAGACTCACTGGAACTAATGCTGTTTTTCCAACCCGAGTACAAAATTTACGTTTTCTTGCTTCCAGCATTTTCTTTAAAGCATTGGAGGATGTTAAATAGAAATTTCAAAACTTTGCTAGATGAGTGTTTTTGACTGGATGATACCCAGTAATAAACAACAAATTATCGCCTTCTTTCTTTCTGCTCCCACTTCCCGCCCTCATATAGATCACGCTTCTCGCCCCCTCTTCTCCCTCTTCCCGCCCTCTCCCGCCCCCTCCCGCCTCCTCTTCTCCCAGGCTCACACCCCCGTCCCCCTCCGTCAGCTAGGAACAGTACTTTCTCTTTCACAACTGAAAAACGTGTTATTTGGTCTCATGCTAAACTTTCTAAAACGATTGCGCCATCGACTGTCAGTCAAGGCTAAAATCAAATGTCAATCAGCTAATTTGTAAAATCAAAAATCAATCAAAAAACACTTATCCACATCTTGTGTGTCCGTTGTCTTATAACAGGAATAACAGTGATGGCAAAAGAAACTTACTACGGCAGAGGACGCCGGAAACCACAACGGACACGCAAGATGTGAATAAACACGTGCGCATCGTTCTTGTCTCGTGAGTCCGAACAAAAGTCACATGAAAAATTTTAACATCACGAAAGTATGAGCATATCGATGAAATCAAGGGCAGAACCGAAAACACAGCGGCGTAAGCAAGGTATTTCGCCTAGTGTAATTGATTTTTTATTACAGGAAATAACGTTGGGTATCGTTGAGACCTTGAATGGGACGCTTGGAACTTAATTAACCTTCTAACTTGAAGAAAACCCGCGTTCGACTAATTACAAACAGTTTGCGCTGCTTCCCAATTTGTTATGTCCTAAAACATTTTTGCCGTCTTTTTGTGGCCATATGTTAGCATTATGTTACCTTGCACAAGGCAGAATCTTGATGATTACCTTCGTTTTTCAGCTATCACGGCCACATATAATTCTTGTTATCTTTATCAAATAGAGAAGCCTTGACTATGCTCTGTTCTGTTATAAAGCACTCAAGAAGTGGCTAGAGCACGAAAGAAGTGTAGGGAGAACCAAGAGAAGTAGTCGAGTGTTTCTCCCCACTTCTTGAGTCACCGACAAAGTAATGAATTCTAACCGACAACCGACATGAATATCCCCCCATTTAGACCTTCTTGAAGCCCTTATGCTCTTCACGTGCATCGCTTCTATTACCAAAATATCTTACTCGTCACACTTTTCAACAGGATTTTTGTTTGTTTTTTTCCTAGATGTGGAAGTTGCCCATGCATTTCGCTGATAAATGAATCAGAGGGGAAAGGTTTTAATCTGCTTTTGTCCGTTCATGATCTGGTTTGCAACTTCCGTGAACTCCGCGTCATCTCTCCATGATCCATCCTCCCTCTCAGTGGCAAGAGAATCAAAATTTTATCGCTCCTCCTAAGAAACTGAATTGGGTAAGACTAAAACCTCGAACAACCAAGGAAAACAAGCTAAAATGAACTTGACTTCAAATAACAACAAACCCTCCGTAGATGACTTCCCGCACGATTTCATGACGCAGTACCAGCGACAGAATGGTGGACTTTTTGTTCATGTTTTTTTAGCCGCTTATATCTTTACTGCGTTGGCCCTGGTGTGCGATGGCTATTTTATTCCTTCTCTAGAACAATTCAGCAGGAAGCTTCACCTAAGCTCTGATGTCGCCGGTGCAACTCTCTTGGCTACTGGAGGCTCTATCCCATCATTGTTCACTTCAGTAATCGGTGTTTTCATCACGAAGAACGAAATTGCCTTAGGAGCAATAGCCGGATCTGGAATATTTAATAGCCTATTCGTGATGGCAATTTGTGGTTTGTTCGCCGGCACCGTTCTGCGTTTGAAGCCATGGCCTCTGTTGCGTGACTGCGTTTGTTACGTCTTGAGCATATCAGTCTTGATTGTTGTCTCTCACGACAAAAAAGTTTACCGGTATGAAGCATTAGTGCTGGTGACTATGTACCTGATGTATGTAATTGTCATGTACTTCAACACAACTCTAGAAAAATACTATGAAAAATTGACAGGATACAAAACGCAAATTAACAATGATTTTGGGGAAAGAATTGATGAAAAAACATCGCTTTTGATGACCAATAGTCAAAATAGTACTAAACTATCGAGCAGAAGAGAAGGAAACGAAACCGAAGAAAGTAATCAAAGTGTCGATCATATTCATCATTCGCCATTTTCTGTGCCTCGGGGAATCATATCCAAGACTTGGTGGGTTATTAAGTTACCAATCACGTGTTTGTTCTACATGACGATTCCCGACTGCCGAAAGATACGATGGGGGAAATGGTATTTGTTCTCTTTCTTTATATCCATGACATGGATTGGATTGCTCACCTATGTTTTAGTTTGGATGGTGTCAATCATTGGCTTCACCCTTGGTATTCCAAATGTCATCATGAGCATGACAGTCCTGGCAGCAGGTAGCAGTGGTCCAGATATTACATCGAGCCTAATTGTCGCCCGACAAGGAAATGGCGATATGGCTGTTTCCAACTGCATAGGCAGCAATATATTTGACATTTTGCTGTGTCTTGGACTGCCTTGGTTAGCGAAGAGCTTACTTGAAGGTTCCACAGGCTATGTTGAGGTCCCAAACAGCGGTATGATCTACGTATTGTTCATTCTCATTGCAGCCGTGCTGGTGGTACCACTTTTGACTAAAGTAAACAAATGGAATCTAAACAAGTGCCTTGGAGTAACTTTTCTTTTCTTTTACCTAATTTTCATTGCGGTTTCAATTATCCTTGCCAACAAGTGTGGTGATGAGAGCCTATGATAGCCTATGAACCCATAGTACATGTATAAATCAAGGCCTAGTCATGCACGTGGCATGAACATCTCTTCGACATGTCTGAATCGCCAACCAAAAGTCTAAAAATCCCGAACGAAATATCATAATGATTGCCTTCAAATACAATGGTAAAGAAATCTTACATATTTTAGTTTTATAAGCTGAAGGTAAGAAAAACAGTGATTCAAATGGAATACACGAAAAAGAGGAAAATGTTCGAAAATTAGCGTGTTTTTGACTGACCCCGGATTGCGTGATATGTCACGAAAGTCTGTAGAGGTGGATGTTTAGCGTAAGTTTGATATGTTAAGTTAGCTTTCGTGCAGTTTGATTTCCTCTTTGTGACCGATTTACTGTTTACTGAGAAATCACATTAAGAATAAAGTTTCCGATACCATTGTTGACCGTTGGTTGTTCGTGTGTCAGTGATATAATGTAGTATTCTAGCTCAGAAAAGAAAGCACTATTCATCCTATTATATGGCAATGCTGCTAAGAACCTGACGTGTCCATATACATACATACATAGACTTAATTTAAACACGAAATTTGAGTGTAGTTACAAAAGCTAATGTCTTCGTGTTAAATGTAATAAAATACAATGAAAATACAAATTCTAATAAGATTATAAAATTTAAATGCCTATCAAATAATGCATTAATAAAATATAGGATAAAATAAACGATGATGTAATTTACAATAGATATAAAGATAAATGATTGTGATATTAAATGTCAAAGTTAACAAAACTAAGAATTTTCCTCTTAAATTCATAAATAAATCCTCACAAACTCTCAGACCATTAGGTAAGGAATTCCATAGTTTAGCAGCTAGGTCAATCGTCTACTTTCGCATAAATCAGAGAACCCAGCTGGTATTGTGGTGAAAGGCGCTAAATTTATTAACCCTTTAACTCCCATGAGTGACCAAAACAGAATTTCTCCTTACAACATTAATACAATATCAACCAGATAAGTGATGAGAATAAAGAAAAATATCAATTTGGGGATAATAAGTTGATCCAATACTAACTTCTCTGAACTAATATCATAAGAATTGTATGGTTGACAGTAAGGAGAATTACAAATTTGATCTGGGAGTTAAAGGGTTAAGGGCTTTGCCCGAAATAAAAGCATCACTAAAAACACACCAAAATAAACTGCATGTATGAAAATGCTGCCTTTCGAATCGCATGGCGCTAATTTTTCAGTACGTAGGTAGTGTGAAGGAAATACTATTGAAGAAATGGAACCTTAAACGTCTTCCATGCATCATATCGAAAAGGGAAATCCCCGTGATAGTAAGCGCTATGCCATACGCGGCCTTACGAACAAGGGGGGTGGGAGGGGGGAGGTAAAAGAATTGGGGGAACACATTATTATTATTATTCGGGGGGAACCGAAGTCTGCGTGTAGGTGTCTTATTAGTGCGAGGTAAAGTTATGAGCTTGCGATTGTTTATCGGACCGGCCATGTTTGAATTGGAGTTAGAGCGGACGGTAGGGGAAAGGGGCGGGAAAAGGACGAGAATCTTCACTCCCCCACCCCCATCCCTCTCTTTATTTTTGACCGTCGACCGCCCCCTTAGTAGAAATTTCTTTCTCTCCCTAACCATCCGCTGCCATCAAAGCCAAAGATGGCGGCCACAATTTTCGTTAAGAAAATACTTGCTCGCCAAAATTACGCCTGCTCTCAGGCTAGGGTTGGGGGGGTGGACCGATACGATAACTTAATTTATTCGCGGTATTTCCATCAGTCAATTGAGATATCAGACTATCTATCTATCTACCTACCTACTACTAAAAATTTACTTTCACTTAAAATATTACTTAAAACTTTGGCGACTTAATTTAGTATCGGTTAATGAAGATGCTTGCCTTAGGTCTATAGGTAAGTCATTGCAAAACTGAGCTCCGCCATACGAAAAACTTCTCTTGGGATAATCAATTCGAGGTCGTGGAAGAACTAGTTTGTTATCGGTATTTCTCAAACGATAAGCACTTAAATTATCACGATAAACGAATCTTGGTCTTAAGTAATAAGTAATCTGACCTTTGATAAACAATTCACCACCACCGTGGTGCCCAGAACAAATCATCCAAATTACTACACAGACGTCCCAAGCTCGAGAAAAAGCAAATGATTAATTCATAAAAACGTCACGCAGACAGCCCTGTGGGTTTGAGGCCGCGTGACGTCAGTTATTTGATACGTCATTTGAACTCTTACATTGGCAAGACGCAAGTGATCCCGAGAAATGTTTCATAAATTTCGCAAATCGTAACATTTCATCCCCAAAATCCGCTTAGTGACAGTCAGATAAATAAAGTTCACTTAGCTTCGTTTTTGTGTGTTGTCTCGAGTGATTTTTCGGGGTTTTGAGAACTCGAGACAAATGTTTTCAAAGGTTTTTCGTCAGGGTTTCTCTTGTTTGAGGGCAAAATTCTCTCACGCCTAAACTACTCAAAATATAACGACGACGCCCCTTGGTAAGAATGAAGGAGAAAAATTATTTGATGGTGATAATACTTGTCACTAGGGATGAGGTTCATTCAAAGGCTTGGTTAGCTTTGCTGAATGAAGCGACCTTTACAACAATAAAAGCTAACACTAAGCAAACCATCAACAAATCGAGAAATCGGATGCGAACCACGAGGGACACCCGTGACAGCTGGCCGTTTTAACTGAACTAACACTCATCAAGAGAAAACAATGGGAAATTACTTGTTCCTGACAATTATCTATAAACTAAGAAAATGTAAAGCAAACGTATTCCCACTCGTAAGTCGGCCTGATAAAATTTAGGCTACACGAAAATGTTTATGCATGTTCAGAAGACGGAGTGAATTATATTTTGTAATCCAATGTACTGAACCTGTGAGGTTAAAAATTACTATGGCAATTTATGTAAGTATGGCATTATTGACAGTGTAAAAGTAGTATTTCGGAATTAGAAGTAATTTATTAGTGTTTTAGCATTGTGTTTTTAATATTGTAAAATTTTTTTTAATGATATTAGTAATAATGCTAAGTTGTTACAACGGCCCGGAGGAATCATGAGCACGTGAATTCCTTGTGTGTGAGGGCGAGTGTGTCTGTGTACTCGTGTCGTATGGCAATATTTTGAATGAGGGCCTCTTAATATGAGCCCGGTTGACCGAGCTGGCCCGGTTTCCGATATCTCGCCTTACCTCTAAATCCTTTGTAAAATTTTCGATGTGTTCATATGAGAGAGCGGTCTGGCTCGGTTACCGAGATCTCGGCTTTTCCAACCGGGATGAACCCAAGGCGAAATTCGTCCCAGTAAGCGGGCCAGCCCGGTCAACTGGGCTCATATGAAGAGGTCCTGAATGGCTAAATAACTTCTCGATGGCAACTAATAAGTGAATCTCAGTTGCTTCCTTCCCATTATTTCCAGTGATGAAAAACTACGGGACTTAAAGCATGGTTTTTCAAATAGGAAGTAGAGCCACAGGCAGCTCAAGCTCCAACTGTGAGATGACGGAAAAATTCTCAATAAATACCTCACCATACTCTTTCACAGTGCATTGCTTGTTTTGCGACCGCTTACTTTGTTGCAACGAGTCATTTTAGTGAGTAATCCATTTCTAGGTTTACGACTCCTAGAGCGGTTGTAAATATTCCCATACAAACTCTTTTTCAATTGAACCCCGGTAACTCCAACTGCCGAGGGAAATTACTTCGAGTTATCGGGGTTTCGAGCAACAGGAATTTTGGACAAAAAGACCAGAAACACTTGATTAAAGAGGTTTTATGCTTATTCGCGTTTTATTGTAAGATTTCAGGCAATATAAGAGCATAAAAACGATAAATGATACCGACAAAGTTCAATTTGTCATGATATATGTATGTGATTAATTTTAATCTTCCGGTGCAAAATGTCATGGCTCATTAGACCGCAAAAGTGAAAATCGACTTTGAGTTATCGAGGGTAAATTTACAAAGAAAAATACCTGAAGGGAAGTAAAGGTCGCTTCGAGTTATCGGGGTTTCGAGCGATAGGGGTTAAAATTACAGTAAATATTTAAGGCAAATCCAAGGGAAACCAGTTTTGCTTAGAGTTCGTAGGGAATTCGAGTTACTGAGGGTTCGAGTTATCGGAGTTCAACTGTCATGATCATCTTACAGCTGGGGCCTGGGCTGCTTGTGATGGAGCATGCTCGACCTTCACGTCAGGACTCATTTGTTTTGAACATCACGTTAATCAGCTGAGTATCCCATGGCTATAGGTCCGTGGAGTTATATTCTCGGTGTGATAAACAATAAAGTTATTTTAAGACGGAGCTGGTCACATCGCAATGTCGGTCCAACTAGCGTTGCTGAACATGATGAATTTAACTCGATCATCGCCATGCGTAAGGCCGTCTATAGATGACTTCCCAAGCGATTTCATGACTCAACACCAGCGACAAAGTCAGGGGGGAGTTGCTTTCCATTTTCTCATGGTCATTTACATGACGATCGCATTATCGCTGGTCTGTAACGTATACTTTGTTCCTTCTCTACAAAAAATCACAAACAAGCTTCATATGAGTTCTGACGTAGCCGGTGCAACTCTCATGTCTATAGGGACCTCTTCCCCCGAACTGTTCACCGCACTGATCGCAGTTTTAATTACAGATGGCGAAATTGGCCCCGGAGCCATACTAGGAAGTCTGCAGTTCAATGTTTTATTTATAGTAGGAATTTGTGGTTTGTTTGCTGGCTCTGTATTGCCTTTGAGATCGTGGCCTCTGTTGCGAGACAGCTTTGCTTTCCTTTTGAGTGTAATGGCATTGATTGTTGTTATTTGGGACAAAAAGATTTACTGGTATGAAGCATTGGCGCTGGTGATTATGTACTTTCTGTATGTGCTTATTATTTACTTCAACTCAACCTTTCGACGTTGCTTTAACGAGTTCACAGGAAGCGAAGAATGGGCTGAGACCGACATTGAAAATGGTAGTGATGAGAAAAGCCTCCTTTTGGAAAACGACTACGTAAACAGCACACAAATGGCCAACCTCTCGAGATCCGAAAAAGGAGAGAAAGAAGAGGAACAAGTTGAAATCACTGACCAGTTTGACGATTCACCATTCTCAGTGCCACAAGGATTCTTTTATAAAACTCTGTGGTTGGTTTCATTACCAATCACATGCTTACTTTACGTGACAATTCCTGACTGCCGCAAGGAGCGATGGGAAAATTGGTATTTGTTTTCGTTCATTATGTCAGTGCTGTGGGTTGCTATTTTCACCTACGTATTGGTTTGGATGGTGGTAATCATTGGCTTCACTCTTGAAATTCCAGATGTCATGATGAGTTTCACGTTACTGGCAGCGATGACCAGCGTCCCCGAAGCTATTTCGAGCTTAATTGTAGCAAGGCAAGGGGAAGGGGATATGGCAGTGTCCCATGTAGTCGGCAGTAACACATTCGACATATTGTTGTGCCTTGGAGTGCCTTGGTTACTGAAGACAACGATCGTAGCTAATGTAGATTACGTTTTTTTAGAGGATGTTACTTTGATTTACACATCCTTTTTGCTCATAGGTTCTGCGTTAATTGTCGTAGTTTTTCTCAAGGTAAACGGTTGGCATTTAAATAAGTGTCTTGGTATTTCGTTTTCTGTTTTTTATTTGGGTTTCACCGGTGTTTCAATTACTTTTGCTTATTTATTTGGCGACAACAAGCCGGTGTGTTAGCCATGTAAGACATAGCATGAACAAAAACAATGACCTGTAATTTTTTAACCAGAGCGCATAGGCAATAACAAGCTGATATCCATATCACTCTTAATTCCCCTAATAACATTTTCTTCTATTACGAACCAAAATTTTGTCATCAAAAGAATCATTTTATTGCGATTCTTTCAAGGACAATCGAAGTTCTTGCAACAAGTATGAATAGAAGAGAATTCTTCTGGTAAGAATGCATTATATCTGAATACCTTGAGAAGAATCCCCATTTCAGGAATTCTTACCACAAGAATCGGGAATTCTTTTCTAAAGAAAGAGTGTTCAATCGCAAATCTTACAAAAAGAATCGAAATTTCATAATTCATAAGATAAGAAACAGAATCTATCATAACCAAAGTTTTATTGAGTTAACTTTTTTTGCCTGTAACTTTGATAATTAAAGACCTGGGCCGGGTTGTTCAAAGCTGGGTTAAGATAACCCAGGGTTAGTGTGAAATCCGATTTCAGATCTAAAAGCTTTACAAGAAAATTCAGTCGAATTCTTTTTGTTTAGAGTATGACTACTTGATGCTTTAAAAAGGACACTGGAAATTTTCCCAAAAAGGCTTTTGAGTAAAGGAATAAAGAAACGCAGATTAAAATTTAACCCTGGGTTAGCGCTAATCGGCCTTCGAACAACTGGGCCCTGATTATGTGATAAAGTCTGTTGAGTTATGCGACACAACAGCGGCGCGGTGGAGTAGCTACATGAGCGATTCCCTGGGAAAGCAAAAATGATGTCGAAGCCGCGACAGTTTGCATTTAATTTTCGTGTGAAAATTCACAACACCAAAGTACTTTACTTTGCGAGCGAAAGACTAATCTGGAGGTTTGAGCAGTTCCAAAAGAGACTTTAAATTTCTTTCATTCGAATCTGTTTTGCACGTCGCTGCAAACAACATAATGTCGTGACATACAGCACTTGCACTTTCAACGCGAATTAGAATGCATGTTTTGACACTATCTTGTCAATATTACAGACGATTTCCATGCAATGTGAGGTCCTTTTGTTGGGTTAGCTCGTTTTTATTCAGATAGCCCGTGATAATCTTAAGAACCTCACGTGCACACTTCAGCGGCCATCTTTGTCTATTGTCTGCCATCTAACCTTTGTATGCGACAAAATACGACAGTAAATAGTTTTGGTTTCTGTCGTCAAATAAAGTAACTTATGTTTAATTCCTGTTTTCGATGCGATTTCGTTAAGATAAATTACAACTGAATGGGGCCGAAGAATGTACAGTACTTGAAGGCTTCAATTTGCAACAAAAGCTCGATTTGTATGATTCTTAATTAAGCATACCACTTCCCCTTTCAATTATGTTTGTGAACAGAAAAGTACCGGATTGCTCAGTGAGAGAAGGGATCATAGGAAAGGACTAGCGGTTGTAATTGGCATGCTATTAATTCGTTGATGTAAGAACAACAACTGCTTTGTTGCAGATTGTAACAATCACTGAATGGTATGGGGCATGATCTGGGAATTATATATGTCACTAATACACAAAGAATCACACATGTAGACAAAAATTAAAAATTGTCAATGTTGATACAGCTGTTCATTGATAATCTCAGTGATGTATACATCACGTTGTTGTGAATATGTAAGTTAATTATATTTTATGTGAATTGTATGTTAACTAGACGCTCGAGGACCGTTCACTCCGGCTTCGTGTCGAGCGTTTTACCTGAGCATTCACCACTCGTAAAATTTATACGAAACTACAGCCGGGACCTGTGGTGGGGAATTTTCGCTATCGATCACTCCAGTGCTACTTTTTGACAGTTATTTGTGCCAACAGTCAGTTTAATTACTCGTGTGAAAAACAATATTTATTAGCTTGTGTACAGCCGTTCCCTTCCCTCAAAGAAATCGGGACGTCTCTCTCTCCTCGGCTCATTCCGAAAACGCTTGACATCATTTAGTGTGGGCCTACCACGAACGGCGTGTGCGTTGGCATGTGAGATGAGCGTATAAGACGGGAAACTTTGCAAAGTGGTCTTCACAGAACACAGCATTATGCTGTATACGAAGAGCGAGCACTTGATAACACAAGTTGTCTCACTCTAATCCCCAGTTTCCGCGCTTTACGCAAGGAACGCCTGGGACCATTGCCCCCCTTTTGGCGACCAAGAATGGCTTGCATTTTAAGACTCAGGATTTCCTACGGCTCTCCTATAGAACAAAAAAATGCGGTATTATTTAAAAGTGATATGATACTATTTCACCGAGATACAAAGAATGAGATGTGTTGATAAACAGTGAATGTTTTCGGTACTGTAAATGTTGGTTTAGTCTTGCATTGATTATTTTATGTACACATCATGTTGTTGTGAATATGTAAGTTAATTTTATGTTATGTTGATTGTATTTTAAAAAATAAAACCAAATGAAACGAGATTATTTTCAGTGTAATTTATTAACAACTCAACGAAACCCATTAAAGGCATAGGATTCTTCATTCTCAATAGAATATTCCGAACATTCTGAGACCTCAGAAGAGCAAGAATGCTTTTGAATGTGATTCTTCACAGAAGCAAAGTCAATCTCTGGAGAAGAACGATCAATTTAAAAACGAATATTCATTCTTGGGTGAAGGAAAAAAATTCTCATGAGAAGACTCAGAAACTGACGTCAGTTCTTCTCAAACAAATATTGGGTCTTCAGGGAAGAGCAGTAATTCTTCTGATAAGTTCGGTTAAAACATGAGATTCTGCTTAAATGGATATTATCTTGGAAGGAGAGAAGTTGTTAGAAGATTTTTCCAACACTCTTCTGTAAAGTTGATTCTTTTTTATTCCTTTTTCTTTAACACAACTTACTGCCTTGGGAACTAGCTCAGATCAGAGTGACTCATTGGTCACCAGCTTATGAAGGTGATCCTTACTAAGTTGTCAATCTTGATGCATCGTCATCATTTCTCGCTTAGCTAGCGAATCACGTTAAGTTACGAGAAACAGTTCCTGCATGCTAAGTATGTACCTTTAGACTACTTCGAGATATTTACGCTTTACAAAATCATTCTCTACCTTAAACTCTTACTCCTACGGTCAAGGTCGGGCAGAACAAAAACAAGATTTTAAGATAAGATGAACCTATTAACAGAATTAGAATCGTACGTAAAAGATATCCTAAGAGAAAATAGCCTTCGAGGACTGTTACATAACAACAGAATAAACTGAAAATTCGAAGAAGAAAGGGCGTGCCAAGGCTCATCCTTAAAGGACTTAAACGTGCGCATGACAAGTTCATATATGTGTTCTAGTTCTTTTGCAGCTGCTATGTTTTAACAATAACAAAAACAACTAGCCTTTGAGGAAGTTTTGTTGATTATAGTTTTGTTTTGTTTTGTTTGTGTTTTTTTTCCTATGGTCTTTTGTTGTGAGAGCTGCGGTGGATCCAGGAATTTTTTTAAGAGGGATGGGGCCAAACTTTTATTCACAAGGGAGGGACTCAATGGGGTCCACTGTAAGCCGTAAACGGGCAATAATTGTAAATGTTAGGCATGAAAATTGGTAAATTTTAACCGTTTGTCGTAAAAAAAATTTAACCGTAAAAAACATTTTTGGTGACAGCAATGGAAAGATGTTAACCATTAACTGTAAGTTAGCCATAAAAGTCGTCGCCCATTGAGACCGGCTCATAAAGCGCAGAAATCTCTTTGCGACAAACTGCTAAGCAACCAAACCCAAAAGTGATTTGATGATGTAAATTAGCCACCGTAAAGTATTTCTAAAGCTGAGGTTTCGATTGTCAGCCATTCGCTAACCAAAAGAAATATCTCGAGAGTTTAAAGAGTCTCATTCAAATTAACTAAGAGAGCTTCTAAAATAAACAATTCAGAATAGTGCTAAACTTTTCATGTAGCGCCAAGTGCGAATACTTCATCATTCTATCATGTCTGAAGTTAAATAAGTTCGTCTTCTTGACACGAGTATTTTACCATTATTTCACTTTGCCACCGCATTCATACCGTTAAGGAATTCTTTCTATATTTTCATGTACGCTAAGTATTTTCAGATCTTGAAATAATAATGACGTTTTAAACCTTTTTTTCGCAATGTTTTATCGTAAAAATATGAAAATACGTCAAAAGAGAGGCAACTTCACAAATTGGAAAAATAACAAAAGAGTGTTAGGCAAAGAGAAGAAACTATAATGATTGAATCAAAATGAATTATTGAAAAGTATAATTGTTTGGGCTGTAAAGGCGAGCTAAATACTGTAATTATACTTTCCACAAATATGACTCAGCTTTAAGGTATTGAATGGTTTTTTTATCATGCATTTGGAATTCGGCCTTAAGCGAAATGAAGCCAAGTGGCTATAATATTCATCCTGATGCGAATTCAGACGCTATTTTTTACGTGTTGCCCCAGAAATCTCTTATTATTCCTTATAAATGTCTGTAATTTATGAAAGGAAGCGGAACTTTTACGAGATCCGGTTTTTCGAAAGCCTGAAAGTGTATTGACGGAGCGAGTCATGAAACTTCTTTTCTTGGAGCAAAACCACATGTTACATGTTTAGTCTGTAGAGACATTGATGGTCATTTCAATTTGCATCTCCGGTAAGGTTTCGGAGAGACTTCCGAAATCTTTCCGAAAGCTCTCCCAAGGCGGTTTTTCTCTTAACGTTCTGTATCTTCGTTCAGGATATTTTGATCTTTTGCTTCGCTTAAATACGTGCAACGCTTAAATTTCATCAATTTCACTGTGAATTCGTTCGTGATTTGCGATGACCGGCTGAACCGTTTGTCGCCTAGAATAAGACTTACGATCGATTCAAACAAACTTGGTGAATTTTTTACCACAATCTCTGATTTGTTGGAATGAGTAACCTTGAGGAACGGCTAATTAAGTCCATGTCTTTGAGTGGAACGAATTCAATAAAATTAACGAATTCATTCAAAGTCGACAACTGCCTGAATGAAAAAAAGTGCGCGATGAAAACGTTCATTAGAGAT